TAAGCATTCAGGAGGGTGGAACCTGGTAGGGAATTAGCATAGGGAGGATATCAAGGTCAAGGTCAGCAAGCAAGGCAACAGTTACCCAAAAGGGGAGCCAGGACCCTACAGGCCCCCCTTTTACTAGAAAATGAGCTTCTGACTTAAGCTGTGTGGGACATCAGCAGGTCACCTTACCCATCATGGAGACACCTGCCCAGGCCATACAGGCACTCTGTCTTAGGTTGGTGAGTGCCCCCCAGACATTACCCATCTCTGAATACTCATCATACAGGCTCAATCGTGTGTGAGCTGCAGAGTTAACTGCTGCCAAAGATCTCAAAGTGGCGCTGGGCTTGCAATCTGTGTGTTTGATACAGAAAAGACCAACAGAGGTTCTATCTTACCCATAGCCAGTAAACTAAAGGCAACTGAGCCATTCCCTTCCTTAATGAACCTTATTGCAAATTGGAGTCTTTGTAAGATGGTATCCCAAAAGCAAATGGATCTTGAGTTTATAAATTGATAATTTTCAAGGCCAATCAAACTGTATATAACTATTGAATTAAATTTGTCATGCCCAATAGGATGAAAGATTAATTAACTGTTGTAGCTACTTTTGCTGCCAGGGTCTCCACTGTGCTAGCTGTAGTAAGCAATTATGAAATGGTAATCCCAGAAACAGTAGCAGCGGTAGCTACCACTGCTATAACAGCAACAACAGCAGCAGCGATGTCAAATTCTCTTCTGGAGCGTGTGGGCATTTACTGGCATGGATACAACTCCAGGAACACGAACTGCCAAGACCCATTTTTCTTGATCCCAGCACAACTTAAGCTGGTAGCTCTGCAAAAGAACAACTAAGAACCATTAAAAAAAAATCAGGCAGCTTACAAGGAGCATAACTAATGGTCTCATAATGGCTACATTCAGGCTCATAAATTTTAAGGTATCTTCAAAGGGGGCTAAATGAATTTCAGGAGGCCAATAAATGTTGCACAGACCCAGCTGAACTCTTAACAAGCCATTTCATCCTGTATCTGAATACTCTTTCTGATGGTGATTTTCCAAACAGAAGCCATTGTATAAGAGAATGGTGCCCTGGCCTCTGTGTAACCTGTTTGAAGGGGTCAGATAGTTTTCTAGGCTGATAACAAACCAGCATTACCAGTTTGTCTCCATTGCCACCTCTGATTGTATCTTCTCCTTTCAAAGCACTGCTCATTTCCTTCTGACATGGGCTAGATTCAGCCCTTTCCCAGGCCACCTTAGTCTGGCTCCCTCATTCCTGCACAGGAGTGACAGACAGGTGGTCTGTCAGTCAGTGCAGGTCACATGACTTACATGGCCATGACCTTTGGTGGCTATGTGTGGGCCACTCTCTAATTTACCCTTTTCTATTTTTTTAAATTGTTTTTTTAGTTGACATCAGTAATAGCAGGTGTCATGATGGCAGGCTCACACATTGATGTCATTAGACTTTGTTCTGCTTCGTCCTCCTCCCCTTCCCCTCGTCTCCTCCGCTGGTTCATCTCGTCCCCCTCAACAGTCTCCCTTTTTGTTTTCCACAGCTCATGTATTCGGTACCCTGCCTCCCCTCTGCATTGCTCAAAGCCCGTTTTCCTCTACTCCCTCCTCTTTCTTTTTCTCACCCCCTCCCCTACTCCACACACAAATCCTGTGTTCTTTCGTGTCATGAGCAATACTTCACAGAAATAGTCACAGCAACTGACTCATAGGAACTCACGAGCTTTAGACAACGGCTGTGGAATCTGCATGGGACTGGACTATAGACCCTCTGCTTATGGGAGACAGTTGTGTAGCTGGGTCTGTTTGGGGGGGGCCCTGGCAGTGGGATCAGGATCTATCCCTGGTGCATGAGCTGGGTTTCTGGAGCCTGTTACCTATGGTCAGACACCTTGCTCAGCCTTGATGCAGTGGGGAGGGGCTTGGTCCTGCCTCTACTGAATGTACCAGGCTTTGCTGTCTCCCCATGGGAGGACTTACCCTTTTGAAGGAAGGGATGAGGGGGTTTGGGGGAGGCAAAGCAAGGAGTGGGAGGAGGGATGAGAGGGGTATCTGTGGTTGGTATGTAAAATGAAAAATAATTAAATAAAAAAAAATAGTCACAGAAACAGCTCAGGAAAACCAAGTTCATGCTCTCCCAGGTCATGGAGAAAGGTCCTTGTGTGCCCTCAGGGTCACAGGGGAATTTTCAGATTTGGTGAGAAGGCAACAGAGAGAAGCAAGGAGAGAGGTTAGGCCAGTCATATTGGTGTTTCCATGGAGAGATCAGACAGGGCAGGCAAATGGTTTAGGACTGGCTAGGTGGAAGTGCTGGGACCTTTGGGGTCAGAACTGAGCAAGGTCCTGGCACAGAGCTCTGCATCCATGAAGTTGACTTCTAGTGTGAGGTCATGTATTAGTCAGGGTTCTAACAGAACTCACAGAATGAATCTCCCTCTCTATCTATACAAGGAGGATTTATTGGAATGACTTACAGACTTCAGTCCACTTGATTCAACGATGGTTGTCTATAAAAGGGAAGTCCAGGAATCCAGTAGTTTGCTCAGTCCTCAAGGCTGGATGTCTCTGTTGCTCTTCAGTATATGCTGGATTCCTAAAGAACTAGGCTCCAAAGCCGGTGAAAGAATGGATGAACTAGCAAGGTGAGGGCAAGCAGGCAAAGAACAAGAGCTTCCTTCTTCTTTATATAGGCTTCCAGCAGAAGGTGTGGCCCAGATTAAAGGCATATGTCTTCCCACCTCAAAGGTCCAGACTAGAAGCAGATTCACCCACTCCAAACCAAGCAAAAAAAAAAAAAAATCTCTCACAGGTGTGCCCTCCATTTCTGGATTGTAGTTCATTCCAGCTGTAGTCAAATTGACAACCAAGAAGAACATCACAGGTCAGTAGACAATGAGGTTGGATGCTCAGGACCTGATAAGAACTTTATAGCAGAGCGGCAGAGTTAGGAGTTAGAGCCAAGAGGAGGAGGTCAGGGAAAGCTATGTAAATCAGGACCGCCCCCCTCCCCCCCCCGCCCCCCTGAAGCCTTTGGAGAGCTTCAGTAGAGAATTCTCCAGGGAAGCAGGCAGCGAGGGAAAGTTCTGAGATGGGAGCAAGCTTGGGGTGTTCTGCTTGGGATGTTTGAGGACTGGCCAAGTGAATAGGCAGGACTGCTATGGGGACTGCTTGGATCCAACACGGCTCGAACACCAAGTCAATGCAGAAAAGAAAAGTTCATTGTAATCAAACTGCAACTGATTGATCGGGGACGCAGAACAGACTCAGGAGCTCAACTGTGGTCCTGAGCCAGAACGTTACACAGCTTTTAAGAGCGCGCGCACACGCGCGCGCACACATGCACACGCACACGCACACGCACACACACACACACACACACACACACACACACACACACACCAATCACAAAAGTCACAAACATCTGTGCTAAGTTACATTTTCCACCTATCAGGAAAGGGGATTCTTCTAGGGACATTTCTTTGTGGTACCCTTATCCTGTTCCCATTGGTTGGTTTACTCAACTCTGGCTGCGTGGCTTGCCCCCACATTCATGTCTCTTGCCAACCAGGATGTCAGTCACTCAGTCTTGGGAACTTAAACTTTCTTTGATGCCCTATTCAAAATGGAAGTTTTACTCAAAATGGCTTCAGTTTGATTCCTTCTTACAGGACAGGGACTATGAACCCAGAAAAGGAATGGGTAAGTTCTGGGCTTTAATACTATACGTATTCTGATATCCACTGAATGTGTGACTGTGTCTTCCCCTTTTCAACAATGCACAGAATGTCTTTCTTTATACTCTCCTCTTATCGAAGGGCCAGATGCACTGTAGGGACTAGGGTAGGGCTGTAATGTGTCCAAGGATGAACTGATTGTTGATATGGACTATATACAAGGAAGATGTTCTTTTAAAAATGCCATACCTAGGGGCTGGAGAGAGATGAGTCAACAGTTAAAAGCACTGACTGCTCTTCCAGAAGACCTGGGATCAATTCCAAACATCCATATGATGGTTCACAATCATCTGTAACTCTAGTTCTACCAGATCAGATAACTTCTTCTGGCATCTGAGAGCACCAGGCATGAAAGTGATACACATACATACATGCAGGCAAAATACCTATACCTATAAAAAAGAAAAACTAAAAAAATTTTAAAAGTCTACCCTTAGTAATTGTGATGGCTATTCTTGGTAGTCAACTTGACTATATCTGGAATTAACTAAAACTTCAAGTCACTGGACACACCTGTGAGGGAGTTTTAGTTAATTGGATCATTTGAACTAGGCAGACCCCCCTAAATCTGGGCCACCCCTTTTTGTGGTAGCCTCTATAAAGGGCAAGGAAGAAGGAAGGTTTTGTTTTTTCCCTGCTTGCCCTTACGATTCACTGGCATCAGAGCCTACTTCTTCGGGATTCTGACATATACTGACGACCAGCCGAGAAATCCAGCCTGGTAGACTGAACAACTGGATTCTCAGACTTTCCTTCTGTAAGCCACTTAGATAAATCCCCTTTATATATGCATAGATTCATTCTATGTTCCTCTAGAGAACCCTGATTAATGCAGTACCTGATTCAAAAATTGAAACAAAACAAAAATGGAAAACAGTGCCATATTCATGATCCATGGGAAATTTCGAGGCCCTAGTCCATATCAGCAACTCATTGCAAGGCCTGTCTCTTCACGCATGGACAAGCCAGCGTCCTCTCTGTCAGTGCTGGCTTCCTTTAGCTCCAGCTGAACCTGCCTTCCTAGAACACTTCCATAACACTTGTGCCTATAACACTTACGCTCTTTGCATGAGTTTTATCCTAATGTCACTGAAACCAAAGTTGCCTCCTATCCAGTGTCACAGGAAGGACACTGAGGAGGTGCAAAAGACCAGGCCAGACCAAACAAGGTCTCTATGGGGAAAAGTTAAATCCAGATGTTGGAAGATGAGCTCCTCCATATTGCACAACTTGAGGAACATCATTTAAATGGGTATCAGTGAGGCAGGGTCTCTGGAGTTGGTCATGCAACACCTGAACCTTACAATACCAATATTTCAACCAGGAAACACTGCTAATCAATCAAGATCTTGATCAGACAGGTTGAGACTCTCACATTCTCTGCCCCTCGGGAGTACAGATGTTCTCTCTTGATTCTCCAGAGCACACTTGTGCTTTAAGCCGGCAGTCATTTTCCTGACCCATCGCTGAGGCTGGGACATCCAGCACTTTATCTTACAAAGACCCAGAGACAGCTATTAGGAGCAACCCTGGTCAGTTCTTTATTGGGAAAGGCACACAGTCTGAAATCCGACAAATCTGCGATTCAAAAAAGATATCAACCTGAAGTTTTATCTTCTTTCCTGTGATCTCATAGCAGCCCTGGATCGCACTATGATTTCTACAAATGTAGTCATAATTCCTAGAGTCTTGCAGTTTTAGAACAGAGTTGCGCAAATGGAGATATTGCTTCCGGGTGAGCCACATACGCACCCAGGACTGCAGCTTCACAGCTGCATATATTTGTCTCAGGCTGCAGTCCATCTTCTCCTGTAACCTCCTCTTCAGCAGCCTGGCCATTGTCTGCCTCCACCAGCACTGAATGGTCCAAGCACTGAGGGCAGCCTTCAGCAGGGTCCGGCGCACCAGGGTGCCTCGCCACCAGGCCTGGATCTTTATGCTTGCCAGCATGACCTTAGCAGGCAGCTGCTATTTTGAAGAGGAGTGGTTGCATGAAAAAGAAAGGACACTCAGGAAATAGTCCTCAGAAACCTCAGCCTCAGGATGGGAAACCAGGGGGGCCCTGAGAGATCAGGAAGAGCATTTGGCCTCTGGTTACCTCTTTCTGTCATGCTTATTATGTGCATGGATAAGCATGCACCACCTTGAGTCTCAATGTCCCCATTTATAGAATGGGGACATCTGCTCTTGATACCTCTTCTGGCTTTCCAGGGACTGGGCTGGCCAGTTTAGGACAAGAGCCCTGGGTTCTATAGAACCACTTTGGATCTGATAGCCACCAGGGCCCCTTGACCTCTTCCTTCAGACCTCCCATCTGCAGGTATGAACTTCACTTTCCTATCGCCTTAATCCACACAACCTGCCACCTCCCTCTGTGAGGCCCTAAGACTGTCTCCCTCCTCTGTACAGTCTGGGGTCTTTCTCTTCTATTTTTCACTCTTACTTTGTTCACTTCCCACATCCTACACACACACACACACACACACACACACACACACACACACGTTCCACGCTTGCATAATTTTGGACATGAGAGTCTCCCTGTTTGGCTCTTTATTCACCAAACACACACCATCCCCCAGCGTCACATAGTCCTACTCCCACTCTCTGGGACATTTCCTCCCCCACACACCAATCTTTGTACCTCCGTCATCTGCCTCTCTAACAAGGCGACTGGATAAGACAGTCAAGGACAAGCAAGCCCTATTCATAGCAGCGTTGGGGAGTGTAGCTGCCCCAGTTAGCTGGGACAGTCTTGGTTTCGATGGTTATTCAGGGTAATGGTTTTATTCAGACCTTTTACTTGTACATGTGCCATGCTTGGAGCATTAATTCCATGACTACTCTATGGTATGGGCCACAAGCAAAGCCTTTACTTTGTGTGGATCAAGAGATGCGTTAGATCAGAGGTCACCCCCCCCCTCCAACAGTGGGGCCCTCCCCATGCCACCTACCTCTGGCTGGGGTGGGGGTTCCATTTTCTCTGTATTCCTTTTCTGAAGTATGGTTTCATCTGCCTTCACAGCTTTAGTTTTCTTATCTTGAGTTTGCTTTTCCTATAATCAGAGTCAAAGGACAAAGTATCGTTTCCTATAATCAGAGTCAAAGATCGTTTTGTGGCCAAGTCAGCGTTGATTCTAATACACACACAACCGCTTCCTTTGGACTGCCAGCCTAAACACAGGCCTTGTTTCCTACTAGTGAAAACCCACTGCACACAACTTCCCCTGCATACAACTCGTTTGTCAGCTGACTGACTACAGTCTGGTTGTTCTAAAGCCTCTGGCAAACCCTCTTGTCAACAGTGGGAAATCCGCTGAGGACTGACTGTGTGCTGTTCCCTCCCCCATTCTCTTGACTTCCTTTCTCACCTCTGGATTGTCTGTCTCTGTGGGATGGGGAGGCTGTTGGGGATGTGGTGTCAGTGTCCTGGTAGGGTGTGGCACTAGACCCTGCTACGGCTCCTTGAGCCAGCCTCAGTCCTCTTGGAGACCGACAAGTCAATCGCTCCTCTTGGAGGAAGAGTCCAAACAGCCCACGGGCAGCCCCTGGCCCCGAAGCTTCTGAGCTCAGATGGCCAGCGTGGACTCTCTTCACTTCCCCAATTATATTAAAAATTATTTTAAAAAATATATTATTTACAACTTTGACTTATTTTCTTTGTCTTGTCACATTTACCTTCTTCTATCTTTTAGGGATTCTACATCACTGTTACCTGTGGATTGTTCCTTCTCACATTCTTTTTAAAGGTGCAATAGATATTTTTGAAATGTGTAGAGGGAGAGGGAGGTCAGAGGCTACTCTCATCATTTGGGTCCAGTGTCAAGCATTCTGGTTTTTTGGTTTTGTTTTTCGTTTGTTTGGTTGTTGTTGTTGTTGTTTTTGAGTTTCTGGATGTTTGTGTTTCCTTTGAGAGGGACCCTAAAGCATGTTTTAGGCAGTGACTGAGAATTTTCTTCCACAGGTGTCTTGTTTGTTTACTTCATAAAAAAAAAAATCTAAAAGTGTACTTTCTTCTCATCTCTCCCCCTTTTAATTCCCTTTCCTCCTCAGTAGGGTGGCCAGTAAATACAGCTGGCAAAAAAAAAGTCAGCCTTAAACAAAGCCAGTGAGGATGTCAAGCCAGGTAAGTAGGCATTGTCATAAGAGCGGTCTCCAGCAGGGAACCCAGGCCATGCAGGAGGCGTCCACACAGGGGTCCAAGTTCCCAGCTCTAACGCGGATCATATCCTTGGGATGAGAAGTGGTCTGCAGGAAGTCAGACCGTGACACGACAAGAGGCTGATACTTTCTGTGCTCAGGTGAATGAAGGGGACCTTTGCATGGGTCAGCAGGCCAGTGAGCAGGCAGGAGCCTCATCCTGGCGAGGACTGTGTTCACCTGGAGAAGTTGCCTGGCACAGTCCTGGGGCCCGAGTGGGTGAGAAGAATGGCAATGTGGAGGATGGCAGGGCATGGTGATCAGAGGGACCGACTAGAGCAGGGCAGGGTAGCCACAGAGAGGGACACCTGACGTAGGGTGTCAGTGCTTCAGCAGGGTGAGGAGGGTGAGGGTACAGGAATGGGGGCCGCATTGGTAGTGAAAGGTGGTCATGAGAGGGGAGAGGGAAGGAGCCCAGGAAAATTACTGAGTAATTAATGGTTGAGAACAAGGTTCGGAGTGCATCTGCTCTTTCTTGCCTCATTTCTCAAACTCCATGTTTATTGTTTCAAAAGAAGTGATCTGTGAAGGATTACCTGGTTTTTTTTTGTTTGTTTGTTTGTTTTGTTTTTAAGGATTACGCATGTGAAACTGGGGTCTACGTGCAAGCCCAGGCATGGATGACTGTGATAAGATGGAAACCAAAGTCACCGGAGACAAGAAGTGAGTGGTTGTGAGCCCCATCTGCCGGTTCTGGAGTCTTGAAGAATATCACCATGCTTAGGGAGGAGGGGACTGTATACACCATAGAAAATCTAGTACTAAGGGGTGGCGGGGGGCTGGGGGCGGTCAAAAAGTGAGAGCTGAACTATTTTCTTCTGCATGTTTTTTCAGGAAGCAACTAACAAGGATTCCCAGTGCATTTGTCGATCAAACACACGGAGCTCTAACGACCAACCCTCTTCCTGGACACAGGGGGAGATAGGAGGGGTTTTACCTGTGCCTTTGTCTACCCATGGTTATGGGCCATGCTGGCTCACCCTCTGAGCTACAGCATCCTTATCTACCATGCAGGATTACACTTGCCACATGGACTTCACAGGGGGAATTGGGGGGAAATGCCTTTCTCTGTGTGTAGGAAGTAAAGGGCCCTTACGGAGAAGACACTTTGAATTTATGGGCTGTGACTCGGTCCTGAGCCCAGGATGCTGCTCACCAATGCGTCTCGCAGTGTCCTAGCCATCCAGGGTCTCCCTCACCTTGTTTCTATTAATGTCTACTCCTACCTTTCAAGTTACTCCACGGCCTTTGGGGCTCATGCCAACCTTTGTCCACTTTCCCATTTTTCCACCCTGGGTCTCACCTTCCTTGTGCTCTGTATGCTGTTTACTCAGGGGGTGGATTTCAGAAACAGATAATGCTGAACCAGTCCAGCAGGGCCAGAGCTGGCTCGTCTAAGTCCAGGGACTTTGAGATCATGGGTTTGTCCTCTCCAGTTCCTTACCTACCTTCAGTTGCTTTTTGTTCTCTGCTTTTTCTTTTTTTCCTGGTGTTTCCTTTTTCTTATTTTGATCAGACTTCTGCAACCAGAATTGGGTTGGTATGGTAGTTTGAATAATAATGGTCCCCACAGGCTCATAGATTTGAATGCTTGGTCACCAGGGGATGGCACTATATGGAAGGATTAGGAGGTGTGGCCTTGTTGGAGAAAGTGTGTCATTGGGGGTGGGCTTTGAGGTTTTAAAAAGCCCATTCCAAGCCCTGAGTCTCTCTCTCCCAGTTGCCTGAAGATCCATTTGTAGAACTCTGAGATACTTCTCCAGCACCATGTCTGCCTGCATGTGACCATGCTCCCTGCCATGATAATAACAGACTAAACCTCTGAAACTGTAAGCAGGCCCCAATTCAATGTTCTCTTTTCTAAGAGTTGCTGTGGTCATGGTGTCTCTTCACAAAAATAGAACACTCTGATAGTTGGGCTGTTGTGGGATATTTGATTGCACAGCGATACTCTGAGACTGTTAATAAAGTTAAACCTTGAATCAAGGGATGGAGTCCATAACTAGCTGACCAGAATTAGCCATACAGATTTTGGAGGGCCCAGAGAGAGAAGTAGAGGAAGAGAAAGGTGGGGGGGCTTGGAGAGAGAGATTCTCAGGCTTTTCAATCTGACAGAGTGGAGAAAGAGAGTTGGCTAGTCATTTCCCTACTGCTTTCTTGATCTAGTAGGTTTGTACCCCAATATCTGACTCCTGAGTTTTTATTAATAGAATATAGGCAAACACTTCATTGGGTCATGGGTGAAGACTAATTTCTCCAAGATATGTCTAATGCCCCAGCTCCTTATTTTATTCCTGAAGCCCATGGCATCATCCAGGGCTTCCTTCTGTCAAGGGATAAGTCTCCACCCCAGGGAAGGTGAGTCTGACTGACCATCGTGGAGGACAGGGGTTCAGATGTTCATTTCCCTCTTGGTATTGCTCCTTTAGCTTCAGCAGGGGCAGGGCAGGTGGGAAATGAGGAGATGACCACGACATCACAAGGATATCTGTGACTCATGGACCAGGTGGTCTTTCTCCTACCTCAATGATACCGGGTGAAGAGGAAACACGTGTCTGGTACCCTCCTGCTAGGAATGGGCTAGAGATGTCAGGACATGGGAGATGTTACTGGCTCAGTGATGACTGCTGCTCTGACCCACACCAGGGCTGATCCTGTCACTAGTCACTGAGGAGAATACTTCATGTTGTCACAGGAAGAAGGGACATGGGCCTTGCTACCGTACTGATTCAGCTGGCTTTCCCTGGTACTCTCTGCCTGTCTTCCATGGTGTCTGAGACACTTGCCTCACACTAATGCCTGGCAGCCCTCAGGAATTTTCCCAGTGACCAGGCCCAGCAGTTGCTGGTCTTCACTGGTCATTTTCAGCCTTTCATGGTCTTTCAGCCTCAACTCTCTGCCTCCTTTCACTTTCTGCCTCTCCTCCTTCCTGGCTGGGCCACCCTCTGGAACTGTCGGGGTGACACGGGATGCTTCGGCCGCTGTCACGGTTACCACCCCCGGGGGAGGCACCTTTCGCCATCACCAATGTCGCTGGCGCTGGAGCGCTGGAGCCGCTGTCTCCGCTGTCACTCTGCTATGGCTCCTGTCACAACCGTCACTGTGGTCAGCAATGACGCTGTTGAGTGAGGTGGAGTAGGCTCCCCTCTAAGAGCCATGCCTTAGAGTGATTTTAATAACGTTTAACAATCCTCTGGACAATCCTTACCCCAGTGGAACCACTCTCATCTGCCCGGCCCATTTGAATTTTGCAAAGCTGTGAAGATGGAAAGTGGGGTCACCTGGCTTTCCCCCCAGGTCTCTAGTGAGGACTTGGGCAGTGTGATTCTGGGGTGAGTGCCTGAGCTTCAGGTCTAGTGGCTCTGGGCAAGTCTTCTGGCCTTGTGGCGTCTGCCTGCTCCTGGGTAACAGGGAGATAGTGCCTGTGGCTCCTTGCCAAGCTCTGTGAGGACTCCCGTGAGTGAAATACTTACAAATACCCAGTTCTTGGTACCTGTTTTAGGGGTTTTTTTTTGTTTGTTTGTTTGTTTTTTTAGATGTTTCTGTTGCCACATTCTTTCTGGCCATTGATGTCTCTGGCCACTTGACCTATTCTGTCCTTGGCCTGTGCTGTGGGATGTCGTTCTGTATGCTGTGAGTGTGTTGCTCTAATTGGTTGATAAATAAAAAACTGATTGGCCAGTAGCCAGGCAGGAAGTATAGGTGGGATTAAAAAGACAAGAATTCTCTGTTTAGTTTTGTGCACGGTGACAGATATGGATCTATTTGCAGCCTTCTACACGTTGATATCCAGTTATGCCAGCACCATTTGTTGAAGATGCTTTCTTTTTT